GGGCGGGGCTCGGGGCAAAAAAGTGGCTTGCGCTGGTGTCTTTGGTCCGGCCCCAGCTGCTTCTGCAGGACACTGGGGAGGGCTAGGGAGCTGGGGGCTGGTTTGTTTGTAATCAGCCACTTGGCTGCCACAGCCCACCCTGCCAGCCCAGGAATGGCCCCCCATATCCCTGCACCCTCCCCCAGATTATCCCTGGTTCAGGTGGGGAGGGGACAGTTTGTTCTCCGTTTGTAATCAGCCACTTGGCTGCCACAGCCCACCCTGCCAGCCCAGGAATGGCCCCCCATATCCCTGCACCCTCCCCCAGATTATCCCTGGTTCAGGTGGGGAGGGGACAGTTTGTTCTCCGTCGGGGGTGGCATGTGGATGGGAAGTTGTCATTCCCCCATCTCTGAGGAGAGCAATTCTCTCCAGCCCCCCAAAGATTCCCCACACACATTTGTAGGGGTGGCATAGGTGTTCACCACCTGAAGGGCTCCAGGCTGCCCAACCTTGAAATAGTAGTTGCTGCTTCTCCTCAAAAGCTCTGTCCTATGTGGTAGGCTTCAGCCCCTGCTGATCTACAAGCCCACTTGAACAGGGGGTGGGGGGAGGGCACTAAACACAGACTTTTAATAAAAGCCCTGAGTAATCAGACTCGCGTTCTGTGTGTGTAAAATGGAAATGCGTCAATTAGTAGAACCTTCTAATGAAGCAAGTAGAAAGTATTTTTAATACCATGATACACAGAGCTCTAATCTTGGTAAAAGCACGTTAATTGCCAGGCATCGTTACAGTATTTTGATGCATTAAATATGAGGTTAGTGGGGGCAGTGTTTATTACAAGGGGTTTGGAAAATAGTCATGAAAGCATTGAGATTCATGTGTAAATGTCAGGTGCAGATTGCACTCCTGCACGTAGAGATTGGCTTAACTGGATATTTAGGATTAACTAGAAGGACGGATTTGGAGCCTGGTTTTCTTCCTATCATAAATGTTCCGGTCAGAAAAGAATCAGTAAAACAAAATGTAACGAATTGTTTTGTTTTTCAGGCTTACATTAAAATCTATCAGGGAGAGGCGCTACCTCATCCTAAATCCATGCTCCAGGTATTTCCTCACCCTTCCATTGTTCGTTCTTTCTTCTGCTTGTTGTAAACTCTGCGACCGTTGAGGGGGCGTGTCCGCAAGACACTGAGGATTGGGAAGGGAGTTTTAGCGCCCGTGGAGCTGTTCCTTCAAGAAGGGCCTAGATAGGTCCCTACTCAGGGACCAGTGTGGCCCAGTGCCCTCTGAAGTGCTAGCCCCTGGGTTCTGATGTTCACCAGCCTCGGAACCTGGAACCTTGTCTGCATTTTGACTCGGTCTAGAGCACTGGGGCTAGTGCAGCGTCTAGTGCCAACAGATGGAAGCTCTTTGTCAGTCAGATGCCTGCACCGTGACGCGTCCGGCCACTCCCCGCTCTGCAGCCCGTCAGATAAGCTGACTGCCCCAGGATTCCCCGGCATGGCTGGCCCAGAGAGGAAGGTCCTGTCTAGGTTGAGCATTGTTCAGTCCAGTCGTGCCGTGCTTGGTACGTCTCATATTTACGCTGTCTGGGATTTAGGGTGTTCTGTAAGGAGGGGCTCAGTTTGTGCCTGCTTGATCTCTTGAGGAATGAGAGGACTGAAAGCCCCTCTGATGGAAGACACCCGAGGAGTTCTTTGGATTCGAATCCGAAATTGTTCTGGGACCTCCTCCCTTTCAAGGAACCAGCTCCCTGGTCTTGTGTAAAGGCTCAGAGCCACTTCCAATGCTTCCTCAGATCCAGAGGCAAGGTGTGGACTCCCGAGGGTCATCCCTTCCCCTCCCCTTTCCCCTGGTGACTGAGGGCAAAGTGGGACCGCATTCTGGCTGGCAGCATTATGAAGACTAGCTCGGACAGGGACACATGCATGACTCAAGACACTGCTTGCTAGAATTTCGAGCATGCAGCTGCAGGCCTGTGACCATGCGGCGGTAGCACTCAGGGGAGAGATGGAAACTGTCTATGTAGTGGTGGAATTTTTTTCTGCCAGCGTTGTAACTATTTGGGGAGCATCACAATAGTCTCTTGCATCCCTTTCTCATCAAAAATCATATACCAGCGCCTGGATGTCCAATACGTAGCTTTTCTAGAGTACCAGAGCTGAAAGCTTTGCTTCTAGAGAGCTTCATTGACCACTAGATGAAATGGTACAAAGTGGCTAAACGTGTTGGTGCTACAGAACATGTAACTAGCGCTACATGGCTGTGACTTGCCAGTACAGTGGTGATCATTCCTGTGCTTTCATTTCCCCAAGGCAACAGCTGAAGCCAACAATCTTGCTGCAGTGGCAGGAGCAAAAGACACGTACAACAAAGGCATGGAGCAGGTAAGTTAATTCCAAAACTAAAGCTGCAGTGTGTATAGTAAGGCCTCTGCTGTAGAACTGTGCACAGTGTAGCATTAAACACTTACGCTGTTGACATATTAATGGACACCATATTAATGGCTGAATGCCAGGACTCCATACATGAAGACCACTCATGGAGTAAATGAGGGCTCTTGTAAAGGAGACTGCTGGGGAGGTCGGATTCAGGTGTCTTCTCTCTGGGAAACCATGTGCTACATGGCCTGAGCGTTCTGTTAGCAGCAGCTGGTGAGAGAGGCACAGCAGCTAATAGAATAAACAGGTGCCTCTAGTGGTAGTGTCACCACACAGTGTTCATGCTACAAACAAAACAAATAGCTTGTGTCTTGGAGATAGGCTGCTGTGTTCTGACCCTTCTACTATAAGGCTGTAGAGCAATAGCTATTGTTAGCCATAAATAAGCCTATGAAATAATCAGTGGTACCCAGAAGGTACATGAGGAGTTTTTGTTCCCCCGTCTCTCAACCTCTGACCAAGGGGATGGTCCAAACATACTAAAAGGTGACCCATTCAAACCAGCTGACAGGAAATCCTTTCACACAATTCATAATTGTGCTGTAGAGCTCACTGCCACAGAAAATCATTGAGGCTAAGAACTTACCATGATTCTAAGCACAGGGTCTGTGTGGCTATTGGATAGCATACGTTCAAATTCTAGATGGGAGGGGATATGAAACCTCCTCCTGTATTAGAGATTGGAGTGAGGCCTGGCGTAGGGTAACCGGCCCATGTCTTCCACTGTCCTGTGAAGCATCTCCTGCCGGACTCCAGGCCTGACCCAGTTTGGCAATCCCTGTGTAATAAAAGGCGTAGCAGTGTTCTCGGTTTGAGACGTTGGCTTTTCAGATGGATGAATGCTTCTGAAAGTGCGAAGCGATTCTCCCTGGAGCGTGTTTGGCCACGGAGGTGATGTAATAGCAGAGGATTTGGATATTCGGTGAGGAATAAACAGGAGCAGATGTTCTTACAGATCTGGTTTCCATGGGAACTCCCCAAGTAATACATTGCATGGAGTAAGTGTGATGGGGGGCGGTCACAGGAGACCCCTGGGGGGGCTTCCCGAGGTGCTGACAAGGCCACTACCACTCACCATCCTGTTCTGGGGCGTCTCACAGCCTGGTCCTGCTGGGCCAGCTCCCTGGTCTCCCCCCCGCCACGGCACCAAGCTGAGATCCCTGCCCCCCGAGGAGCAGCACAGATGCCGAACCTCTTCAGGTCCAAGGAAGAGGCAGTTTTGGGCCCAGCTTGCCGGGTACAACTCCCCAGATGGGATCAACCCCCCAGTGAATGATGTAGGCGACCCCCCCTTAGCACTGAAAGGGGGCATGTGCTCCTTGGCTGCTCCCCACTAACAGCTGTTGACACTGGGCTTGATAGGAAATAAAAGTGACTTCGCTAAGTACAAGCAGCAGGATTGAAGGGGGAATAAGTGAGAGGAGGCAGAGCAAAGCAGATTGCAAATGTAAAATAACAGGAGACGCAGAGCCACTTCTACACTAAAACCTCAGCACTGTTCCTGTTCCAGCTAAGCCTCCAACCCGGGGAAGTCTCCTTTTCCCTGGGGTCTTCAGTTATCCTCTTGGGTGGCCCCCCCAGCCAAAGACACAGACGCTGCTCGCTGCCTGTTGTTTTCTGGATTCCCTGTTACATAGGGACTGGCCAAGTAACTTCCCCAGCAGCTAGGGAGGCCATGTGACTTCCCAAGACCAACCACTGCTAGGACTTAAGACACAAGAGGATTGCCCAGACATTGAGGCATTCCAGCATTGGAAACACTCTTGATGGCTTTCATTTGCATATTTAAAACCCTAATCCGTCCAGACTCCAGCTCTCTAACTATGCGGAAGAGAGGAAAGGTAAACGGGTCCTGCGGAGTGAGACTGATGGGTCACATGAAGCAATTTGTCCAGAGCATCTGAGTGATGCATATTTGGGTCCATGGCGGGGGGGGGGGAGGATCTGTCACTGTGGCTGAACAAATAAATCTGGATACCCCACCCATGGTCTGGAGAACGTTGCTGAGAGAGATGGGTCTGCAAAGGCAGGGTGCTGGGATTACAGGCCTGTACGCGGTGGGGGGGTGCAGGAAGGGTGCGAATGTACCACCATAGCCCCCGAGGGGAATGCAGGAGCGGCACGCTGCCCGAGCCGCCCTCCTCCAGTCAGCTGGGGTTGATTTCCTCCCTCTGCCCTGGGGGCGGGCTGGGGCTGGGCCTTGCAGAGTGGGGGGATCAGTCCCAGCCTTCCCCTGGCTGGTGGGAGCATGCTTCCTTGGAGGAGCATGGGGGTGAACTCGAACCCTTGTGGGCCGCACTTACCAAAAAGCAGCCTCCCTCCCCGAAATTCCTGCCTACGGGCCTGGATTAGCAGCCCAGTGGTTCAGTTTGCGGCTCATCCCAAAGCCACGGACTAGAAAACGGAGCGTGGCCAAGCACCTCCTCACGAGAGGCCCCTGCCCTTCGGCTCGCTGCCCGTCCTCTGGCGCACGGCGGGGCTCGCTCCAGGCTGCAGGACCAAAGCCAAGGGATTGCTTAGCCTTTGCTGTGAACTCAGAACAGGGCTCAGGGTGCGTGACTCCTAGAGTGTTTGAAATCTCCCACCCCCCACGCGTGTGGGCGTCTGCTCCTGGGCGGGGCCCGTTCAGAACTCCTGGAGTTCCCTTGGGGCTGGCACCGTCAGCTCCTTTGGCTCAGCTGACTGGGTCCTGCCTTGGGATTTCATCGCAGTGATTTTCTAGCATTTCCTCTGTTCTTTCAAAGCTCCTTTTGGAAAGGGATGGTGTCCGTTGCTGGCATCTGCCCCCTTAGAGAGGGCTGGGGCTGCAGGACAAGCAGAGGAGTGAAGGCAGCCAGGGCTTTGACCAAACTCCTGAAACGCTGGTTGTACAGGCCTGGTGGCTTATCCTAGCGAAACCCAGTAGGGTCATCGTCTGGCTGGACATGGGCCAGTGGCTGATCCATCAAGCCAGTGTCCTTTCCGCAGCGAATCTCTTGGAACCAGAGCATTTCTTTGGATCCCAGCTTAGGGTTTGTTAGCCTGGCCACTGAGGTTGGAAGCTGGGTAACTCCGAAGTCTTATGTGCCCTTCTAGTAGGCCAGAAAAGCACATGCCTTCGGTTGCAGGAGGGTTGGAGTCCCCAGCCTGCATGGCTTTCAGTAGTCCAGAAATGGAGAGGGCACCTTCAGCGTGACAGTCACCCGAGCCCTGTCAAATCAGCCTTGGGCTATGGACTGTGGAAACCTGCGTGAGGCGCTCGCCACTTCCAGCAGGGCCTTAGGAAATCCCTCCCTCCCTGGGTAGAAGAGGAAATGTTCCCAGGCTGGCACCACCGTGCGCTGCAGAATCTGTCCCTGGGGAAGGGATATTCCCAGCCCTTCTGGGGTGTTGGCTTGGTGCTGTGCCCAGCTTTATCCTGCTGCAGCAGTGCGACTGGGGAGAGACCAAGCTGGCATCCGTGTGATGCCCCTCCCCCAGCTGTTGTACCAGCCAGGGCGCTTTCTGAGCGTCTGCTGCCTCTCCAAGGAGAGAATCTCTGCTTGACTTGCTCTGCCTCAGTGAACGATGCAGCAGGCCCACCCCGCCGGCTCAGTCCTGTCACGCTTGAGGCCATTTCTCATTCGTACGCTTCAGGAGGAAGCTGGAGTCTTACCAGCTTCCCTGGAGTGATCCGACCTCGGTCAGCTGCAGGGCGAGTGTGGCCTCTAGCCACTGCCCTCTGACTCAGTCCTCACGCCAGTTACGGGGGGGTGTGTGGGTGCGCGCGCGCTGTTCAACCCCAGCTGCGAGTGACACTGCTGCTTTGCTCCTTTGGACAGGTGTGTGGTGGAGATAAGCCTTACATCGCTCCCTCTGACCTAGAGAGACAGCACCAGGGTTTTAAAGAGTCCGCTGTCAAACAGTTCTGTGCTGTGAAAAAGATGGGAGGAGACGAGTTCTGTCACCGCTACCAAGACCAGCTGGAAGCAGAGATCGATGAAATCTATGCAAACTTTGTGAAGCACAACGATGGCAAAAACATCTTCTATGCTGCTCGCACCCCTGCCACCCTCTTTGCGGTTATGTTTGCCATGTATATCATCTCAGGACTGACTGGCTTCCTGGGTATGAGCCCCATAGCTAGCCTGTGCAATCTCCTCATGGGGCTGGCGCTGGTATCCCTTTGCACGTGGGCCTATGTGAAGTACTCGGGGGAATTCCGAGAAGTTGGAATAGTCATTGATCAAATTGCTGAAACACTATGGGAACAGGTTGGTATCTGTTTAACTACAAGCCCTTTCTTGAGCAAACTTGCCAATTACCATTTCTGTTAATCAGAGCCTGCTCCGGAGCAGAATAAAGACCCCTTCTGGAGGAGAAAACGCACTCGGAAGTGCTGACGGGGTGGAGAAACTTCTGAACAGCAGCCGGATCTTCTGCTAGAGGCGGCAGGCGGCTCCTCGGGAGTGGGTTACCCATTGGCATCCCCACCAGCCGTAGGGGCCACCCCTGCCGTTTCCTGGCTGAGGGCCATACTGGGCCTCATGGGATTACTGTAGGAGGTGGCTGAGCACTCCATCTTCACACCAAGGCAGGGCCAACACTGGCCTAGTCACTCAGCTGGCAGAGGATGTCGCACTCGACGCCTCGGCTGCAGCCAGGTGCAGGAGCAGGCTGGGGGTGCAGGGTCTGGGTGGGAGAAAGGCACCCCAATTCCTGGCCCCTGCCTGGCGCAGCTTCGGGGGGCGGACAACTCCATGTGGCCCTGTGCTTACAGGCCCCGCCCCCACCACCACCGGCCACGATTCCAGCTAATGGGAGCAGCAGGGGTGGAGCCTGCAGGTGAGCTGGGATGTGTGGTTCCAGCCAAGGGGCTGAGCAGCGGGCAGAGATGCTTCTGCCCCTCCCCCCACTCCAGCCAGTACACGGGGGGCTGCATCTCCCCTCAGCCCGTAGCCCTGGGCTAGAGTCCTTACAGCGCCGGCTGTTGCTGCAGCAGCTGAAGTGTAGATGTGTCCTCACACTGAAGGTTGATTCCTTTGTTCAGTGTCTCATGCCTGTTCTTGCTAATGACCACTCGTAAATCTCTCTGCCTTTCTCTTTTCTCTTTGCTTCAGAGGAATCCCAGGAAGGTGAGAAATTAGCCACAATTAGTCTTAATTAGCTGCCTTTTATTTTCCCACTGCTTGCTGAGAGTCCTTTTCCTAACAGCTAAATTCATATTTTAGGTGTTTTCCAAACTCTTTGAAGTTGCTAGACGTCGAATGATTCGCCGTGCTCTTACATCAGCGCAGCGGCAGCGACTCTCGTCCAACAATAACAAGAAGAAAAATTAGACAGTATTTTAAAATTTCTTTCTGTATCTGAAGTGTTCACACTCACACATATAGGACAATAAGCAGGACCGTCTGGGCCGGTCTGCATAAATGCTGTAAACATACCAGATTGATGCTGCATAGAGGGTATGGAACTGCACATCCATCTTCTAGGAACTGTAAAGTGGCTTGAATTCCGTGAAATACTACCGTGTAGGAGGAAATTATTTTTGTTTGAGATGTAACGGATTAACCTCATTACTGTAGCAGCACAGCTCTTCATCATTTCCTTTTAATGCATCACATTTTTGGTTTTTTTTTCAGATCCAAGATCTTAATTTTTTCATTATGCGAATTCTTGTATTTTATATATTTTTATATTTTAAAGGGTTATTTGATTTACCTCATCTTTATTTTGCACATTTCTCATACCACAGGTATTGAAGCCCCTGAGTGAAAATTTGTTGGAGGATAACATGAGGCAGTCTGTAACAAACTCGATCAAAGCAGGCCTGAGTGAACAGGTGTCTCACCATGCCAGATTAAAGACAGACTGACAGTTCATCTCCTCTTCAGCTCTGCCCTCATCCTAGACATGCTTGCTGTACAAGAACTCAATAAAAATAAACCAAAGTTTACAATCAACTCTAGCAGTAGTTTAGTGTGACCGGCTTCACAGATTGGTGCCATCAAATGTGCAAAATACATTTGTCAACGTGAAGCATTCGCTTTAGTCTGAGACAGACCAGTGCCATGGAGACTGGTAAGTGTGGGGACTCGAAATACAGTTGTAGTGTATTGTGCACACTGTGTGCCAGCATGAGTGACTTTCCTCCTTTTCTGGGAGGCTGCAATCTCTGATGTACAATGGAAATGTATCCTCTGTACAAGGATGTTTCAGGGAAGTAATTTTCAAATGTGTACAAGGAAATCTTTTACCAGTGTATTTAGCCACCCAATATCCCATTAGAACTTTGACGTGTGGAGTATTTATAAAAGCACTGCATCGAGTCCAATTGAAATGTCAGTGCCAGCTGACAGTGAAGCCATCAGTGAGCCACTGTATAAAGAGGAGCTTGCTTTACTGCTTTTTTCACCAGTGTTACCCCAAGGCATGTGCTGGTTCCTCTCAATGACATTAGAACTGCTGCAATGAAGGGAGTGACTCAAAATGTATCTGTCTTGCCTTTCTGATTCACAGACTTTGTCCTACAGGAGATGCATATCAGAAAACTGAGCTGTCTTTTTCTGCAGTTTAGCCTTCATGTATATAACACACGATTAATTTTACTGGGGAAGTTCCATCCAAAAGAAAGTTGCCTACAACTATGAAGCAATGAGTTAGGCTTGTCTGTACAGAGTGTTTAGTTTTATTTTTAAGAAGTCAGATAGGGCGTGTATATGAAATATAAATATATAAATACAATTTTGTATCAAAGTTTTGTAGTTTATGGCAAAACCTGGTTCTGTGGTAGGCTAAGTCCAGTCCCTGTGACAGAATGCTTGTGGCTCACGTAACTGTGTGAATGCATAAACAGTTTGGCGTTTTTTGATATATTTGTGATATTTACCTGCCCTGAGCACGGCGATCTCTCACCCACTGGGAAATCAATGGAATGTTGGTTGTGAAACTTCTTGTCCTCTGTTGCATTTTAAAGTTTTCCTGTAATTTATTTTCAGTACATGATTAAAATAAGTTGTGTATATATGAAATGAAACTCATCTTTCTTCTTTAAGAAATGCTGGCATATGTATTCCACTACATAAATCACGTCAGCTATTTATTCTCAAAAGGTAAAACAAGGATTGCATGCTGTATTTAGCACAAATATGCTCCAGTTTTTAATGAAGATGAACTTGAAAATACATTGTTCCCCTTTCACTTTGGCATATGTTTGAAAGAGAACACTGGTTAGCTCGTTTTGTAAAAAAAAATAAAAATAAATGTGTGGTGGTATATCATGCGGATTGATATCCCATAAAGCACATTACTTCACTTGTTGAGCTGCATGTCAATTTGCAAACGCTATGGATTGTATTTTTCTGAAACTTTGTTTTGTTATGGATTGTGACCTTCAATTCCATATGTATTAAACTGATATTATCTGAAGTGTTCTCAAATATATAAACGAAGCCTAAGCAAGGGTAACTAAATAGCATCTTAGCTGTTTTTCACCTGAAAATGATCAGTTTGTGCAATGGATTGTTTTGCATTTATAATTACATAGAGAAAGTATTAAACTGATTGGTTAAAGCTCCTAGAACTTCCTTTTAAAGAAAAATGAAAGAATTTAGTCAAAAGATGCATTCTGGCATACAGCAATTCTGCTGTGAGTATTCCATGCAATAGACAGTAAATTCAGATGGGAAACAATAGGAACATCAGTGTAGCTTGTCTGTATTTCTGGAGGAGCAAGGGTTTGAGTGACAGTTAAAAAAAGACAGTATGAACTAACCTTTTTATTGGACCAACTTTTGCTGGTGAAAGATGCGTTTGAGCTACGAAACTATTTTGGCTCATGTGGCTTCTTTAAACCTTGCAAGGCTGGATGCAGTTGAGTAGAGCAAATAAGTTTTTTGTAGTTTGACAATCTAGTACATTAGAAGGATAAATGGTAATTCTGCAGGACCTCCCAGTGGTGCAAATTTACTCCATTATTGTGCTTCTGAAGGATTGTCAGGCTCTCTTCCCAGTCCCTGAAGGTACAGTCTTTGTCTCACCTATAGCAGAACTGACACCAGGCCCACTCTGTTTCAGAAAACGTTTGCCTTAAACCTACTGCCTCAACTTCCATTCTTGAACTGCTTTCCATCTCTATTCTAGTAACTGCCTTTCATGCAGGTTTTTCCAAGAGAGATAGTGTGTAACCTGCTCTCTCTAGGCTGCAATTAGTAGTGAGAGAAATTGTGTTCAGTGCTGAAAACCCTTTTGTATAAACCACTGTAGCCTTCAGGAAAACACTAACCGTGTTTCCTATGGGGCAGGTGCACTTTCTAACTATTCTGCTGTGGGGAAAGGGTCTTTATCCTCTTCCACCTGCTGTGTGCAGAAGGGCTGACCTGAACTGAAGTCCCTGCTCCACATCAGTTATGGGCTGTAAACCCCCATTTAACCATAGAACTGGAAGGGACTGAGAGATGTCATTGGTCCTGCTGTGAGGGCAGGGGCCTGTACTCAAGCACTGTCTGTTCAAGCCTGATTATGATCTAGAGTCCCATGATGGCTTAGGGCTATCTGATCAGGCCTGCATGGCTAGAGCAGCCCCCACCTGTGACTTGCTGCTCCTGGCTGCCAGTTCGTGGTAAGAATCATCCAGTAAGGGTGATGTTTACCAGGCAATGAGTTCCTTGTTCCCATTCCTGGAGCAGGGATCTGAAAAGTGCTAATCCCCGTGTGACAAATCTAGCCTTTCATCACAGCACACTGCTCCCCCATTGTCCTCAGCACCCTTGTGGAGTGAGCTCAACTTTGCAGCAGGAGCCAGGTAAGCTTAAAGTTCAAGAACGTCTGAGACTTCAGTATAATCACATGCCCACGCGTTCAGGGGAGAAACAAAGTGCTGCCCCAGACCAGGTACAGCAACCCTTTGTCTAGAACTTTATTTTCAAGGTGCCTGCCTGTTCACTCACCCCCTACTCCACTGGGCTGCTGGGTCTGTCAGAAGCTCACTTAACACTAAGATCTGACAGCAGGGGCAGGTTTCCATTGAAACCAGTATGGCCCTGGCTACCTTGTGTTTGACACATGCTTGATGCCACTAAAGGAGTTAGAACAGCAGGGGTCTTACTGCACTGAGGACAGACTTGAACCCACGCCAAAACTGGCCAGTGGGACCAAACTTCAGTCTGATCATCTGAGGTGAAAGCCACACAATGGCACTGTACAGCAGTGACCAAGGGCACTGAACAGCACGTACCCCTCCGCCTTGGGCAGTGACAGCTGGGGCTGGGGGGCCACACAGGGCCATGGGAGCAGCCTAGTTTGATGGGATCAGTGGTTACTCCCTTCCTCCCTAAGGGAAGGTGGCAGCTTTGTCATTTTTCCAGGAAGCATCTAGTCACTGCTGGAGTCCTGCTCCACACCACAATGAGAGTGATGTGCAGCCAAGGTCCAGACCCTTTTGTCAGGGGAGTGAAGAGAGGAACTGAAGCCTGCAGCAGCCTTCTCAGCATTGGTGCTATTAATGGGACCAAGCTTCACTCTACCCAGGCTGAGTTTCTGCCATGGTCCTTTTTAAAAAAGGCTCTTGCAGGGCCTTCAAAATACCCAGCTGCCTCTGGCTGCCAGCAGCCCCATAGCCCTTGCTGCACACTGCCACTCCAGTAGTCTAAGATGGCAAAAGTCAACCCCCACTCTTGCCACAGCCTCACTTCCCTGAGATGGGGGAGTCACCCTATTACTCAAACAGCGTGTGTGCTGAGCCCCCAACAATTTCACAGGTGGGTTTTCATGGACTTAAGAACTGGCAGCCAATGTTGGTATTTCATAACACTGCATCTAACTGATCCCTAGCCCTGGTAAGCAGCAGGCAGTTCCAAAGGGGGTAGTTTGATAAAACTGCTTTATTTGAAAAGTGGGTCAACTGGAAGTGACAGCATTATTTACATACACCCCCATTTACAGATCACACCAATACAATGGCAATGTTCGTTAAAGGACTCGTCACTATTAAATAAAAATACACGATTCGGACTCCCTCTAAAGTAACAGTAAAAATGAAGTTGTCCCCTTCAACTGGTCTTCTAAGCATCTTGCTGCTTCAAATGAGATCAGCAACTGAATTGGAGAGAGAACACAAGTTACGCATCTGTGGCCATACTAGAAACTGCAGCAAGCAATACAGCCCCTGCACTGGAACAGGGCACCCCTCAACTGAGCAGGCTTTTCCTTTACAAGTGGTTAAATTCCAGCACGATAGAATTGAGACTTTTCCTGAGTCTCTTGCAGAAATGACATGGTGATACACTAGGCAGCTGCCACTGGGCCAAGCTGAGCTAGGAGAGTCCTAGTTGTAGGCACCCTACACTCACCATTCATGGGCATCTCGTCAATCTGGGTAGAGTAGTATTGTTCAATATCGCGCAGGATACGGATGTCATCGTTCTTTACGAAATTGATGGCAACACCTTTTCGGCCATACCGACCGGATCTACCAATTCTGGGGAAGGAAAAGCTCCAGGATTAGTGGCTGAGGGGGGAGGGGTAGCTCAGTGCTTTGAACATTGGCCTGCTAAACCCAGGGTTGAGAGTTCAATCCTTGAGGGGGCCATGGAGGGATCTGGGGCAAGTCTGTCAAGGATGGTACTGGGTGCTGCTGTGAGGGCAGGGGACTGGACTCCAGCTCCGAGAGAGCTCTCGCCAGTCAAATTCAGGAAAAGGAGCCATTCCTGTACCTGTGTATATACAGTTCTCTGTTGTTGGGCAAGTCGTAATTGATGATCAGAGACACCTGAGGAACATCCAAGCCCCTGGCCCAGACATCTGTCGATATAAGCACACGACTGCCAAGAGAGAAGAGCAGAGTTATTGCACCCCACTCGTACTGCAAGTGCGTTGCAAAGTGAGACAAACCAGCTTCCTGCCGCACACTGACATGCCAAGTGCCACTGAGCAGCTTTAGGAAACCAGGTAATAAGAAAACTGCTTCAAAGTGCTGCAGAAGAACATGTGTTGCCAACATGCATCGTACAGCTGAGCCATTCCCCTCCCTCCCGCTGCAGGAGGGAAGTGTGTAAGCCCAGCTCTTTACACTGAACACCTCCAGCACACTGCGGGTGGCTAGCTGCTGGGCCCAGGAAATGAGGCTAGAGCACGTCTGTTACGTCACCGCAAGGCTCCTTGCTCTTCACCGGGGCCCCAGCTCCCTCCAGGCAGAACTCGGCCCAATACACAGTAAGCCAGCTTTTGAGGAGGGGCCAGAGAAGCGGAAAACATCTCCTGTACAAAGTGTCACGTTCAGCTGCAGGCTGCCTGGCAGGGCACAGGAAAGGCTTCACGTGCTGAGAAAAGCCTCAAACTCTCCAGCTCCTCTTATTGAACATCACAGGCTGACTAACATCATGGTTCCCCTTCAGCTTATGCCAAGGTCACCCATCCTGAGGCGCTACGCAACACGGTATCGCACTGGGAGTCTGAGCGCTAACAGTCACGGATCGCTTACTCTAGCAGCACTACAAACATTGGGGAGAAGTGACGGGGCAGAGGAACAGATACTGAAGCACAGTTCAGCCTCCTAAAGGACCCTGGGGAATCCTGGTCTCAAACTATAATGCACCGAAAATTACAAGTCACTTGCCTTGCCCCGGATCGGAACTCTTTCATGATGGATTCTCTCTCCTTCTGTGGCATATCACCGTGCATTGATGAAACCGTGAAGTTAGCTTCTCTCATCTTCTCAGTCAGCCAGTCTACCTGCACATCCAAACCACAGCTAGTTACACTTCTGTACTGGTACCGCTCTGCTGCTCCTGATCTAATGGGTTGCTAGTCACGCTCCAAGAACCACTCTCGTGAAGCTTTCACACACAAAGGCAAAGATTAGAGGGAGCTACCACTCCTCTCCTCCATGACTGCTTTAGGTCAGGCTTTCAGAAGGAAAAGCTGGCTAGCTTCCTGGCTATGGAGCCATGGACCACTGAGGGAATTCTAGCCTAGTTCAGATGGATCACTCCGTTTGAACTAACGTCTGCAAGATTCACCACTAGCTAATAAGCAGCAGCTAAGACAACCTCCGTGGAGAGCAAATTGGTCCCCTTCAGTAGACTTGCCTGGGCAGTGAAATCATCTGGGAAGGGCAGGCTCCATTATTCCTGAGCATCACTGATTAACAGCTCCTACTGTCACTACACATCCGGGAGGGGGATCCAAGCCTAGCACTGGGCTTGCCTGTTTGGTGCAGGATGCTGTATTCCACCCCCACCCCCCAGCTGTGAATCAAGTGCATTTTCCAAGTTCATAGTCCTCTTGGAACTGAAGTGCTAGTCGATGGGATTGTTCTAAAAGGGCAACTCCACCTGTGGCTGCAGTTCTCCTTTTAGTGGGCAACATGGCAGCACACAGCTGGCTACGGACTAGCTCAGTACAACCGCATGGACAGGAGACGCAGCGCTGGGTTCCAAGTGCCAGTTCAGC